TGTAGGAAATACAAAACTTTTAACATCTTTTATTATGTTTGATCACCACCATTACCTCGCACTCAGGAACAAGAACTCAATAACATAAAGTCAATTATATTTTGAATAACTGATGGTGTACTCCTCCAGGTGGTGTACCTATGTGTTTCAGACATCTATCTATTCGATTCCCTTTAGCACCACCAGCTTTTCAAAAAGTTTGGGTTTAAGACGTCGTCTGTGTGGCCTATTGATTAAACGGTAACACTTTATTTGAAGGGGTGTGCATAAGACTGAAATGACACTGTCATAAACATGACACTTTTAATGCAAAGTTGACATTGTTTAAAATGTCTTTGTTATGAAAACTTGACATTAACCAAGAAATCATAACCTGTCACAAATGTCATAACAGGTCTAATTATCAAACTTAAAGAAGTTATTTAGCTTTGCGTTAACATTACATTACTGTCATATGTGGTTGGTTTTGACTTTGGCCGTCATGACACCATTATAACTGTGACATGAATATTTTACTTGTCCTCAAGTAAAGTGGAACACATTGTACTAGTTATAAAGATGTCATTAAGGGTTATTACACTGTCAAATGTTTTAACAACAGTGTCATTAATATTTCCCCTTACCTCAAGTAAAGTGGAACACGTTGGACTAGGTATAAACATGGCAGGTTGACAGGTTATGATTTCTTGGTTAATGTCAAGTTGTCATAACAAAGACATTCCTGTCTTTGTTATTGTCAAGTTGTCATAGACGTGAGTCTTTAAATTGATATTACAGATATAAGAATATATTTCCATTAAACAAAAGCGAACTTTTCCAGATTTTTTTTACTATGTCGCTTTAAATTAATAATTTATCAAACAATGTGAAATAAATGCAAAGTAAGTGCAGAGTTTAGTGCAGTTTTCCTCTGGCGCTCTGAATACGGTTCAGCAGTGTAATTCACACAGTTCACCACAGGAGGGCGATTAAACTCCATTTTCAACAGAATATCGCAGACAGGGGCGGCGCTAGGGGTGGGCTAAGGGGGCTGTTTTTTCAGTAAAGCCCCGAATGTTTTTATTTCCTTGCATTGTACACACCATCACTGAGAGAATTTAATTAATTAAATGTATATTTCTCGACTCTCGCATCACAGCGTCCGTCAACATACGCATTGTCATTCACAACCGACAAGAACCGCCCACTCAGGCTAGTGCTTCTGACTGACATGTAAACTGGCCAACCATCGATGAGAAGCTCGGCGGTCTTGTACGATCCAGCCAATGAAATTAAACATTTTGGAGCCAGGTGTTTGTTGATGTGCAAGAAGTTAGTAATGAACGAGTAAAATGGATGCTATCAAAGTTCTTCCAAAATAAAAAAAAAAAAGAAAAAGGAATTAAAACACCCCCAGCCATTACTAAAACAAGATACAACAGCTTCAGCAGGTATCTGTAACTTTTAATCGTAGTATTAGATTTCTTTGTTTAGATTGTCAGATATACATTCTGATCGTCAAACACTTTGTGCAGCACAGTCAATAGGACGTGCACGCGCGGCGCACACACAAAAGGTAAGGTAGGTAGTCTTATTAGTCTTTAAAATGTAATGTGTGCATGAAGAATGGGTCAAGATTTTTTTGTTGTTATTATAGAGATTCTTTAGTCACCTCTTTTTATCTATTCTCACAAAAATCATGTTGTTAAGTAAATGCTATTTATTAAAACAATAATAGAGCTGAGCTTGCCAACCATGTCTGAGATGAGTCAGCAAGGAAAGAAGAGGGTGCGTGGCATTGTGATTTTTAATTTTAATTAGCAAAAAATATTCACCTTATTAAAAAAAAACATTTTATTTAAAGTTTATTCCTTGTATCGTGACACATACATGGATTTCTCTGGGTTAAGCCCCAGATATCCACTCACCCTAGAACCGCTCCTGATCGCGGATGTAAAATATATTTGGGTGATTCTTCAATTGGGGGCTATTTTGCCATCTTAGATTTTGATTAATGAAATTTGGTTAAATTTTGTTAGAATTATGTCAAGACAATGTTTACATGTTTTGATGTAAAGATATAATAATGGCCGCAACTGAGCTTAAATATTATTTGAGTATTTTATATCTATTTGTCAACTGGCACTTCAAAATGTCATTCCCATCACAACATCAAAAAGTCTTATAATGCACAGAATGTATCAAGGAGATCATTTAAACTCATTTATCTTGCAAATAGTTTTAACCTTTAACAATGCGTATAAAAAACAAAATGTTTCCACTCAGCGAATTACGGATATTTTCTTGTTCTTACCATAAAAACGTATTTTTCTGTGTTCGTCAAAGCACACTTTTGTTTAATTTCTGGAAAATTAATTTTAGATGTTTTTTCTTTGAATAGGTGAATGAGTATTTTATTAGGCTTTTCATGTAGCACCTCAGGATTGAACATAAAACATTTTTAAAGGTACATTTGCTGTAAATTAAGCAACGTGGCGGTAATGACATACTGTTCTGGTAATGACATAGTGTTTTGGTAATGACATAAATGAAAAGTGCACTGATACGTAAAGCAAATTTAAAGGCTTAAAATAATGACTTTTGGTGAGTGTTGTTAAAAGAAATCGCCCTGGTTGCGTATGCAACCCACCGTTCCCTGAAGGAGGGAACGGAGGACGTTGTCGACTGTTGACTGAATGGGGATCGCGCCAGAGAGCCTATGTTCTTCGAGTACTATTGAACGAGCCAATGTTATTGGCGTGCGTGATTTGCATCACACACTCCCGTCACTGTAGGGACCGCAACGTATGGACCCAGCCTAACACAGGTTCCACACTGCTTATGAGTGGTAGGCCTAACACCGTCGAGCTGGTACTGTGTAGTGGAAAAATGCCTTAAAGTGTGAGATTACTTTAAGCTTTCCTGTTTCTTTTCTTCTTTTGTATCTTTCTTTTTCTCTGTAAACATACTGCTGATATTTTACAGGATCTCCCTTCAATTTTTTTCTATAATCTCTAGACCTTTCTGTTGATTTCTTGGAAGCCATTCTGGTTAAAAAAATAAGAAAAAATTGTTTTATGAAGTAAGACCTATCACTTAAGTTTCACTGTAAAACCACAGTATTATGCTTCTTTAACTTAATTAATAAACACACAATATGATATAGATAGTGACACGGAACATGTCATTACCACCATCACTTGTCATTACCATCACAACAAGTTGTGTGTTGGTAATGACGTGTTGCGGTAATGATATTTTTAATTTTTTTCAGGAAAAAAAGATGCTAGGTCATGGTTTTGCTAACATTACTCAACAGCTAGTACAAAAAACTTTAAATACACATAAATCACGTGAATGTATATATAAATGTATCAAAATATTGCTGCTACAACATTTATGGTAATGACGCTGAATAAGTCTACTCCATGATCAGAAAGAATTCAAGATTAAATAACTTACTTTTTCAGACATCAAATTTCACTGTTCTTTCATGGCTGACATGTGCTCCACTTCTAGTCTTCATTTCCATGGTTACGGCATAAACAAGTCTCACCCTCAGAAATATCCTTGTTGTAATTATAGACTGTTGCGGTAATGACAGTATTGTTGTGGACAATACTAAATTGTTAAAAATATTCACAAATTGCACAGATATTAACCCGAATTATGCATCAAGTGCCTTTTAAAGTTACTGTTTAAACATATATTGTAATTGTTTAATGAACTGATTACATTTTATCACATTTTCAGAGCAGACAAGTTTTGAAGTCTGGGTTGGGGACAAGGCCTGAATAGCCAAATATTAGTGATGAAAATAATTTTAAAAATGGAAATCATACTGATTTTAGTGTATAACATTTTTTCGTGGTACAATAAATATAATTTTAAATAACTAAACTGTTTATTTTATAATATTGTATTTTTAACATGAATGTATAACCTGGGGACATAAAAGTTCCCCTAATTGAAGAATCACCCATTTATAGAAAATTTGAAAGGTAATTGCCAGATGTTTTACTGCGTCACATGGCAACCAACAATTTATTAAAAGTTACAAAATATTGTAACTCAAAGTTTTCCTCTGACTGCAGTCACAGCTGTAGAAATAAGTTGCAGCAGTGTAACTCACACAATTCACCACAGGAGGGCGTCAAGATAAAAACAAATGTTCGTCTTAACCCTAAAACCGTATTCTGGACAAATGTGGGCAAAATAGTTTTGATTTATTTTTAAGAAATACTTCCCTTGATCTGAGCGGTACAAGACTTGGCTGCTTTTCCTAAGTTTGCCTCCTGAACACACACAATATTTTTTTTTTGACTCAATTCTACAATGTTAAGTGGGTGGAGAAAAAAAAAACCTTCTTAATCTTGTATTTGGGTCAAAAATGGGCACCCATAGAAATTAATGGGGAAAAACTGTAATTTAGAGCATTCTAAAATAAGCCAAAATAAGACACCGGGTGACAGCAAAGCCACTTCATAACTACAAATAACTAATGTTAGGGAAATCTGTTAATGTTTTGTTGTGCGTTCCTGAAAAAAAAAAAAAATATCGGCCAATATATCGGAATATCGGATTTTAAAACCAACAAATATTTGTATCGGTATCGGCCTTCAAAATCCTGTATCGGTCGGGCTCTAGAATGTTTGCTAATAATGGTTAGCGATAGATTGTAAGTGGCAGACCTCTTGGTGCTTTTCTTAATCATGTTGCAACTTAATCATGTTGCAAATAAATTTACACAAACTAATTAATGTTAACTGACGTAAAATGAGAGTTTACACAAATCCATTTACATCCATACACAGGACAGGTGACCTCTCTTCTTATTTCACCGCTTTCGCACTCATATCTGATGAGAAAAGCGTATTCAAGTATTAAGAATCACCCACTCAAGTTTTAGCAAACCAGGCAGAGAGTTTTGAGGCCCAAAATTGAGGCACGTCTTTTGTTGCTCTGCAGAGACCTCCTTCTCACTGGTTCAGGTAGAAATTCACGACACACCCACTGCACTGTTAATGAGGATCGGTAGAAACGGTTGAACGTAGAAAGAAAACGGATTATACGTGAGCAGGATCAGCGGTTTATGTTTTTTTTTTTAAAGCTGATACATTTTTGATATCTTCTTTTGTCAATCATTCAGTAAACAGGTTCTCAGAGGATATTTTAAACATGTATTTTCAAGGACATGTTAGGATGAGAGGCTGATGAGTAACGTTCCTCCAGTGCAAGCCTCCTGGAAAAACCAGTCCAGATGAAATCACAGCAGCAAAGGTAAGAAACTGAAAATAAAGCATGCCTTCATTCAGTTATAAGTTTATTAGCAGCCCACATATTTATTTCCCATGATTTCCCGGTTGAAGAGTCGTGTAGCTCGTGCTGATAGTGCTTCCAGTGGGATCAGGACCAACAGGGAAGATGTGTCTTGACATGCCAGATTTTTTGGATTGTTTTCACAGCAAACCTTCAGTTGTATTGCAGTAAAACTATAGTATTACTTCTGAAAACTGCAGTCATTTTTTGTAAGGGCGTGGACTGTTGAAATTATAATGTTACCATTATAATCAACGATTTTAGACCAATTCCACATTAATTATCTGGCGGTTTGTTTATTCCAGCAGAGTTGTAATTTTAATTACATTCCATTGCTCGTTTACATAATAGACCGGTGTAGTATCTTTTCAAGAAGCCGACTAGTTCAAGTGAATACTTTACTTAATTTGTTGCAACAGACATAAACACACCATTCCTCCCATGTCTTCACTCCCTCTACCATCTTCTTCAACTGTTTTCCAGGACAACACCTGTAATAGACTGACACCTAGTGGTTACTCAAAGATACTACATCCCCTCCTTCTTTAGTTAAATACCAATAATATTACTTAAATAATAAAACATTATACCCCCCCCCCACACACACACACGCACACACACACACACACACATTCTTAATTATTTTATTTTATTCATTTATTTTATAATTGTCTGTCACTGACTTAACTTATATAACATAGTCTTTCAAGTGACATGAGCCCAAGGGGTTTCTCCACACTCTCTCCTTTTCTACGCTGCGAGAGCAACTTCCCACCCCATAGGGAGAGGCGTCACAAGCCAGAACCAGTTCAGAATCTGAGGAATAATGAACAAGCACCTCTGCTGATTTAGCAGGGATTTAGATTCTTTAAAAGCTTCTTGTGGCTTTTTCCACATCCACTGAACATCTTTTCTTAGCAGCAGATGTAGGGGAGCTAGCAGCGTTGCCAGGATTGGAAGTAACTTATTATAATATTTCAGCAAGCCCAGATAACTTGGTTCTGGTGCTTATTCAATAGCTTTCACTTTAATTGCCATCGGATGTAAACCCTGGGCATCTACTCCTACATATATTCCACCTCATCTGCCAGGAAGATGCATTTCCCCATTTCAATCGCAAACCATCTTCAGTCTCGCCAGCACTTCATTCAGTGTCTTCAAGTGACTTTCTTGACTTACGCCAATCACCAATATATCATCCAGATAAACAAGTACTTCAAGAATACCTTGCAACAATCCCTCCATTGTTCTCTGGGAGATAGCAGGAGCTGAAGCAACTCTAAAAGACATTTGGAGTCTAAACAATTATATGTGAATAACCCGTTTTGTGAATTCACTGTCAAATATTTCTTGGAGCTTTCATCCGTGATGATTTGTTGGTATGTGTGACTCTTATACTTTTTTGGACATGTCCTGTTTTCTCCATCCAACCATTAAAAAACATCCTCCACCGGGTACTGTTCCAATGTTGACACTCTGTTGACTGTGAGTTTGTAATCACCACATAATCTTATACTGGCATCCGGTTTCAAGATAGGAACAACAGGAGCTGCCCACCCTGAATACTTCACAGATGAGATGATTTTGTCTCACAGCAGTCGATTTATCTCTTCCTCCACCTTTGTTTTCAGGCTAAATGGCACAGATCTAGGTCTGAAAACCTGGGTGTGCATCAGTCGGCACATGAAGAGTAGCAGTAGTACATCTTAATCTTCCTTGAAAACTTCCTCATGCTGGAATAGCACCTGTTGAAACGTCATCTCCGACTGCACCAGCTTTATCTCACTCCACTGCATTCGGAGTTCTTCAAGCCAGGATCGTCCAAATAAGCATGACCCTGTTTCTTTCACTATAACAAGTGACATTATCTTTTCCTGCTGCTGGTATTTTACTTCTACATCAGCCACACCCACTATTCCCAACGGCTCTCCAGTATACGTTCTCAACTTGATTTTTTTTTAAGTCTCAGTTTGGGAACTTCAGGGTCTTTCCAGATGACCTTGCACATTCCCTCACTGTTCCCTCTGTTCGCTTTTGTTGCGACAGGCCCAGGCGATATGACCATTTTTTTCATACATGTAACATTTGTCCTTCTTAAATCTTTAATCGTTTGCTTTGTGGTTTGTTCCACAGCATCTCTCCCATTTCACCCATTCACCCGTTCACCCATTTCTCCCTTTTTCCAGTGATCAGGTTTCCTCTCTTTAAACCCTAACACTATGACGCTGTCACATGCCTGTACGCTGGATTTATTTTGTAAGTCGAGCACATTCTTGCTTACAGCTTCATTGGCTACTTCAATTTTAAAAGCAGTCTCAAACCTCAGATTTGATTCTGAGAGCAGCCTTCACTGACTCCGATCATCATCTATCTCACCAACATGGCATCATGACTTTTGCGTAAACATACACGGCACTTTCAAGTCAAGTTGCGCGTTATCTATACGCATTTTGACATTAAATATCCGAGTGATTCTGCTTGTATGTACATGCCGTTAAATATCTGAGTGAAACGAAGCAAAATGTAGATGTACATCTGGGGAGCGATATTTTTTCTCCTAGGATGGTAGGGGAAGACTCACAAATGCTATTAACCCCAGTTACGGGTAGGTTTAGGGACAGGTTGGGGTAGGTCATACAGTATATTTATATATACAGTATCATATTATCATCAATACAGATTGTTTGTGGTAAGATTAGACCGTAGTCATTTATCTTGTTAGTGTGCTTGTTTTAACAAGAGAAATAATCAACTTTCACTTATAACCCAATACAGTTACCCTGCATCCATAATTATGAAGACGTTGTTCTGCAGGTTCGTCGTCGTCTTTTTCAAATCGCTCGCTCTGGCTCGAACATGTAAGGCTTGATGGACAAGTCTTCTGTTGTTGACATTTTGTTAACTTGTGAATAAAAATGTTCTTTGAAGCTATAGTATATAATCGTATATCTCTAATCAAACTACAATAATGGCCGAATGGGGTGGAGTTGAACCTTGTGTGAACTCATCGACCTGGAGAGCGGGCGGGGTGTGACGCATCTCCTTTTTATTTAAAGGGGCCGCACCAAAACGAGTTGCTCACAGACGCACGTCAGAAAAGGGGCTTGTGGAGCTATAATAATGAGGAATTCAGACCCAAGCATTGCAGTTATGTTTTATATAGACCACAAATGTATGATTTATATGTAAAAATGAATGATTTAAAAGCATGATATGTACCCTTTAACTTGAGAGGCATATCTCCTACTTCTACCTGCAATGCCGAAACAGATGAAGAAGGGTACGCTCCACAACAAATCCTAAATGCCTTTGCTTGAATTCGCTCTAGTTTGTCCACGTGAGTTTTTGCTGCTGATCCATATACTATGCTTCCATAATCAATTACTGATCTAATTGACATTACATACATAGTTTTCAGTGCCAGCCTATCTGCCCCCCAGACACACATCTCTTCACACTCTTTTACACTTATGTTCCATCTTCTCAATATGCTCTTTTCATGTGAGTCGCCTAACCAGATTCCAAGATACACGTTCTAGATTGATATTATACAATTTTACTTTTATTTCATCGTCAATTCTTTTATTAGTGAAAAACATTACCTGAGTTTTTTTCCACTGAGAATTTAAATCCCCACTTTAGTGACCATTCTCCACTTTTTTTAACACATTTTGCATTCTCCTCACAACATGTACTTATATTCCCCCCTCTGAACCATAAAGCTCCATCATCTGCAAACAAAGATCTGCAAATATTTTTCTCCACCCTCTTAAATACATCATTTATCATGATTATAAAAAACAATGAGGAGTACCATTCTCTGTCATACCTTTTGATGACATGCACTCTTACCTTGATGATCTTCCAGAAATTCTTTGATCCAATTATACATTCTCCCTCCTACCCCCCTACTTTCCAGTTTCAGTAGCAACCCTTCTCTCCACACCAAGGCTAGCACAATCTCTTTATTACTGTTAAGGCAAAAATTCAATAAAACAGACATCGCTGCGTAAGAGACACTTCAGAGTCAAATTAATAAAAGAAAAGAGAAGTTTATTCTTGCAAGAATAGGCCCAGTCGCTAACACAGATTGGTACACTGTGAAGAGAGTGACGCCCAGAACACAGGCCGGGGTGAAGACTAAATAGCCCTCCCCAAGGTTATTTACTACAGGCCAAGCCTCCCTGTAAAACTCCACAAGCAATGGATTCAAATGCTAGGTTAGATTTACCGGTAACCCCCTCTATCCTCCCAGTCTAAGATGACCTCTGACCCGGCCGGTTCTCTGGTACCTCACTCCACTCTTGATAACGGAAAGACAAATTACCTCCTTCACGGATAGCAAAACAATAAGACATTCCTCTGTTATTACATATACTATAGGAGGTAAACAGATAGAAACTCAAGACCCAATGAATACATGTGAGATTAAAATTCCCCAACATTACTCAATGCCTTTCTAATGTCTGTCTCTAAAGTTTTATTCGCACGGGATTAGTATTACCCGGGGACCACGTGTGAATTTAAAATTACCCACCCACATCTGAATTTCATGTGGCGCATTCGCACGGGATAAGCGAAGCCTGTGATTTTACTCGAATTTACTGACTTATCTCCCGGATATGATGTCATTAGGCTACAGCTTTGAAATGTCTAGTCGTTATTATTAGCTGTATATGATAAACAGAAGAATTGTCCTTACCGTATGCTGCTAAACATGTCATTCATCTCCATCTAACGTTCATCATTCTTTTTGTTTCCTTGTTTCTGATGGTTTTCAGCTTTCTCTTTCTGCAAATTGTATAGTTGTACTCGCGAAATGACCCCGCACCCAAAATACTATCAAAACACTCCAACTCAGCCTCTATTCTCCGCAGATGAAACAAAAACCTTGAAAAAATTATATACGATCGGGCCAAATCACAGAGATGTCGATTCGCACGGGACTAGTATTATCACAGAACCTCGGTGTTCGGCAAAATATAGTAGGTCATTTGCGGGGGAATTTTTACTTTACAAATTACAGACATGGCCGATTCGCACTTGATAAAGATCAAACTCTGCAATTATTACATATTACTACAGGTCACCAGATAATACTAATCCTGTGCGAATAGGGCTATAGTAGATAATTTGAGGGGAATTTTTACTATATACTATGGTAGTCAATGAGACCAGAAACTGTCTGGCTACAGATATTCTTCTAAATATCAGAAAATCGTCTTAATTCATTTGAAAACGGTGAAACTCAACTGTTTAACTCTGGGGGAGTTGTAAAATGAGCCTATTTCCAAAAAAAAGTGGAGTATCCCTTTAACTCTGACACCGGATGTAGTATTTTGGAGTAACCATTAGGTGTCATTGTATTATAAGTGTTGTGTTTGAGCCTATTTCCAAAAAAAGTGGAGTATCCCTTTAAGGATTAATTTGATGTCTCATGATATGATGTTATATCACTTTAATGAAACTCTGTCTGTGTGATTGAACAGGTTCAAATGAAGAGGAGGAAGAAAATCAGCAGAAATCACAGATCAGCAGAAAACAAGAAGACTGAGAGAAACACGGAGGACAGAAATGACACACAAACCAGAGAATCACGAGAGGAAAGAGGACAGACACGTGTTTGATGTGACAGTATGAAGAAACTAAAGCCAGACTGTGAGTGTTTGATCATTAACTTTATAATATTTTGACACATTTTTGAGTTTCACTGTTAGATTTCTGTTGTTTTCTCTCCTGTCATAAAGTGTCACATTCAGACAAATTCATCAGACTGACTTTCTGCAGTCATTAAACATTTACAGATTGTGTTATTGATCAAGATCACAATACATATAAAATTCAAAGCAAAGTATATGAGGATAATGAGCATATATGTGTATTTTTCTAGTGTCCTGTGATCCAGATGAGCCTGTAAAGAGTGATTCTCATCAAACCCTTCATCATGCCCACATAGCAAACAGATCCGGAACGGATCTGCCGCGGAGGTAAGAACCAGGTCCGGAACGGAGTCCACTTGCACAGCGCAACGGATCCGGAACAGATCCGGATTGCGGATCCAGACTAGATCCGCGGCAGACCCTATCCGGATCCGATCTGGACCCGTTCATTTTGGAATGAAAACCTATCAGATCACTCATTCAAAACTAGTAATCTGGCCAAAACTACAAAAATATTTCAAATCTATTGGTGGGCCAACATTAGATAGACTGCCCACTAAACAACATGATGTCCAAAAGATGTCTTTTCAACGTCTTTGTCACAAAAGTCGGATGCTGAAAAGACGTCCACTGAGGAGCCAGAATTAAAGTTTTTATGACGTGTTTTTTGACGTGTTCTGCACGTCCGATGTAGACGTTCATCGAACCTTCGTACAAGTTTAAAAACTAGGTCAAATGTGGCCATCGTGTTTAAACTCATGTTTATATCAATGTCATTTCCTTACATTGTTTAGATGAGGTTTAGATGTTGATATGTTTCTTTTTAAGAAACCATTGTGGTGATGAGTGTTGGCTTTAGTTGGGCTCTTGGTCCCAATTCTTCCTACTTTAACTTCTCTTTGGTTATTGTAACTGTGTGTTTGTATAACACTATTGTTGTTGCATAGAAAGCCAAGAAAAAGTAAAATCGGCTGTCATCAGCTCCTTGTTGATGATGACAAAAACACAAAGCTAGCTTTTAATGATGTGTGTAGACTTTTGTCCTTATATCTGCTGTTTATAACCACCTATTTTGTGGAACTGCGTTATTTGGACCAGCAACCATTACAATTGTTGCTTATTTGAAGGTCAATAAAAATCATGTGTACTCAATGTTTTGAGCAAATATGTCACATAGTCACACACAGACATCACGATTTTGCATATGATTCTCAACAACGGTGACAACCAAAACAAAAAAAGCTTGGGAATCAAGGATTTTTTGTACTTTGAAAACTACCCATCATGCATTGCAGCATGAAGCTTTTTTTATTGTCACCGTTCTTGTGATACATACGCAAAATCTTGATGTCTGTGTGTGACTATAAGGTAAATTTCTTAATAACATTGTTTAACAAGCTTTTTTTTATTCACCTTCTAATAAGTGCTAATTTTAATGGTATACAAATAACACAGTTCCACAAGATAGGTGGTTATAAGAAATAAAGACTAAAGTCTAAACACAACATCAAATGCTCACTTTGTGACTTAGCAATGATAATCAACAAGCTGATGCCAGCATCTCACTTTTTCTTGGCTTTCTGTGCAACAACAATAGTGTTATACAATCACACAGTTACTACAAGCAAAGTAAAGTTAAAATAAGATGAATTGGGACCAAGAGCCCAACTAAAGCAAACACTCATCACCACAATGGTTTCTTAAAATGAAACATATCAACATCTAAACCTCATCTAAACAATGTAAGGAAATGACATTGATATAAACATGAGTTTTAAACACGATGGCCACATTTGACCTAGTTTTTAAACTTGTACGAAGGTTCGATGAACGTCTACATCGGACGTGCAGAACACGTCAAAAAAACACGTCATAAAAACTTTAATTCTGGCTCCTCAGTGGACGTCTTTTCAGCATCCGACTTTTGTGACAAAGACGTTGAAAAGACATCTTTTGGACATCATGTTGTTTAGTGGGCAGTCTATCTAATGTTGGCCCACCAATAGATTTGAAATATTTTTGTAGTTTTGGCCAGATTACTAGTTTTGAATGAGTGATCTGATAGGTTTTCATTCCAAAATGAACGGGTCCAGATCGGATCCGGATAGGGTCTGCCGCGGATCTAGTCTGGATCCGCAATCCGGATCTGTTCCGGATCCGTTGCGCTGTGCAAGTGGACTCCGTTCCGGACCTGGTTCTTACCTCCGCGGCAGATCCGTTCCGGATCTGTTTGCTATGTGGGCTACTTTGAACACTTTGAACACAAAAAGCTAAGCACTAAAGCCATCTCTATCATCTGGTTGAGGTGTATTATGCCAAAAAATCCACTAGATTTCACAGCGTCAATCAACAGCACTTGTCACAACACTTCTTCTAACATGGATGTCTAACACTTTTTCTAACATGAAACAAATAAATCACCCCAGCCATGTGAACTGTTTTTGGTGAAATTTTGCAAGCTAAGCATATTACATATTCCACTGCAAGAGCCTTAACTTTACAAAATGATGTTACTTGGTGCTATGAAAAAACTTTAGGATATTTTTAATCATTTTTCAAAAACATGCTCAACCAAATGGTTAATTTGGCACATAACGGTTAACCATCACCCCCCTTTTGAGAATGGACATTACAATGCACTATTAAAACTTGGTTGTAATTCAAGTATGCTTTGGAATAAAGACCAAAGTTTAGTCTTGTTTTAAAGAAAACACTCAGCAGATTATTGCTGAAGTAAAAACACTTCAAAAAATAAAAGTATGAAAAGGTTATGGAAGTTTTAAATGTACATTATTAAATCAAATATACTTTACTAAATATTTTTTTCTTTTATATAAAATATATATTTTACAAAATATTTTTTCCTATAAAATTACTATAAAATCAAAGCCATATATCTAACAAAGTTGTGATCCAAGTTTGAAGTTGATATCACAAAAATTGAAGTTCTCATGAGATTTTGTTTAGGCGTAATACCAAAAATGACATAAATTCCATTGAATTTAATTGTATGCATTCTGCTGTAGCAAATTAATATATTTCTGTCCAAATATCACTTCTGTTACAAAATATGGAACCTTGAGACTCTGACGTTTCTGACAATGTGTTTTGTCAAGATTAGAAAAGGTTTTGATCATAATTTGAAAAAGTATGGCAAAGTATGTGTTGAATTCCAGTACCATTTATTACCATTAAAAGGTTTGTTTTTACTTACAATTATTTTTTGCAACACTTTTTCATTAAAAAAAAACACCCTCAATGACATCATCGTCATAAACGACAGTCTGTAGACTGGTGGTTGATCTGGAATACACATTTTATGGTAAAAAATTCTTCCATGTAGTTCTGTTCACAACCTTTGGCGAACGGTCCTCTCACTTTAGAAATCCTGACAACATCGCTGACTTTGAAATTAAATACAGGCTTCTCTGTCTGTATCACCATACAAGTTTTGAAACACTTGAACCTCATTTGTGTTTTATGGCACAATATGGCTGCCGTCGCATCATCCAAGGGGATGCTGCATACTGGTGGTGGTTGAGGAGATTACCCTCTCTATGTAAAGTGCTTTGAGTGCCGAGAAAATTGCTGTATAAATGTAATGAATTATTATTATTTACTCTGTCTGTAACGGTCACCAGCTGGAGTGCCCTTTTGAGCCAGCAGAGGGCACTCCAGATAAGACTATTATCACTCACAAACTACAGTTCCCAGAACTCACTGCCCGGACTCATCATCACTGATCACATTCACCTGTACCTCATTCACTGATTGCATTCACCAAAAATCATAAACATGGTCTTGTTAGATTCAGGGCGTCATGCCGAATCGACTGATATCCAATTTTCCCAAATCGGCCATTTTGGCTGTCGGCCATTTTGAATTATGTGATAAAATGCTGTATTTTTGAACGCATGAACGAATTGTTACGAAACTCGGTATGGGTCATCAGTACCCTGCCCTGACGGAGCCTGAGAAGTTTCGAAACAGCGCCATCTAGTGGTAAAATAAAGTTTTCAAATGCTTTTAACTCTGGCTGTAGTTGACTTATTTTGCGCTATAACATAACATGCTATACTTAACGAATGCATTGGTGTAACATTACGAAACTCAGTTTGTGCCATCAGCACCATCCCCTGAAGGTACTCAGAAGATCAAGACAGCACCACCTTTTGGTCAAAGTTATAACAAAATTTCTAATAATGCTTATAACTTTTGAATAAATCTGCGTATTTTAATGCGACTGGTCTGAAGGTTGTAAAAGGTCGATTTTGTAACTACGCCACCTATTGGTTGAAAGTGATAATCCATTTAATCACATTTTTAGTTAATTGTATGTGATTTTTCAGCCATTTTGCCTAAATTCATCTTTAAATGTCTTCAATTGCTATTTGCTGCAGTTGGTCTGACACATGTTGGCATGTTTTGTTGTCTGATTGTGCTTGGCCCCGTTAATTGCTGCTTGCAGCTATATTTAAAGTTGAACTTGCAATCCGACAATCTTGCTCACCAAGAAGCAGGGCCGGCGCGAGGCATAAGAGAACTAAGCGGCTCCCAATCTATTTTCACTTTGTTATTACTATCATTTAGTATAACAACCAACTTTCCATTTAAACTGAGACTTACAGTGGTAACTTCCGTCTGAAGACTGATCTCAGTTTGACCACCAGCTGTCCCGAGGAGAAACATGAGGCGAATATTTGCCTCATAACCTTCATAAACCTGTTTAAAGAGAACTGAGAGATTATAGTTAAGCACAATGAATGAACAGTTATAACTTACCTCAAGGAATTTCACCTTAAAAATACTTGCATTTACTGAACCTCTAAGTTCAATCAAGGAGGATTTCAGAATAAATGAACATTATGTAAACTGGAGGGAGTTTGTCAGCTGGCCAATCTGGAGGATTTATGAGATACTGGATAACTTGTAGAGCGCATTATCAACACAAGGAAGACACAGGTGCAATACAATCTTTTTTATTAACAAAACAAGATTTTTTGTTCTTAAATGAATCAGCTATACAAAATATAAATGTAAGTTTTTAAAAATAATTACATACTAATAATATACACTAACATCATCTATTTGATGGTTTAGACTTACACAAAGCTTAATGTATAATTTGCTTGTCTTTTGCGAGCCGCTTCGGGAGGCACACACACACACACACACACACACACACACACACACACACACATAAGAGCCACCTTGAAGTTGAAAACAGCATCTCTCGCCAGTATTAGTTTCAACTATCACAGATTGAGCTGATTCTGATGTGAAGTTTGTGTTTTAGGAAGGAAGGAAAGCTCTCTGCTGTGAAGGAAAGGAAGCTGCGCTAGATGGAACGTGGATAGTTAAAATTTTACCTCAAATATCTTCTTTTTATAATCCTTGGAAGCCAGAATCAAAAATAAAATTTGATTAATATCACAGTCCTAAAGTGTAACCAGACTATATATTTGTTTAGGGACTCTCTCTCTCTCACACTCTCTCTCTCTCTCTCTCTCTCTCTCTCTCTCTCTCTCTCTCTGATTGAGAATATAACAAAAAACACACAAATGGTTTAATATTATCCCATGTCACATAGCGTCACATAGTCATGAAATCTGCATGATTCACGTGAGTCATGATTTTAGTCCTATTATTCCGAAAGAATCTCATCCCTGAAAATGTCCACAAATGGAAATGACAGCAAGGCATAAAGAAATCGTGTAGCACACAACAATGTCATATCACTTGAAACGTTGGAGTGGCAAATTTGGCAATGACAGTTATGATTAGTGATATTTTGTTTGCTTCAATATAGATGAGTTAAATTCCAATATCATCATGATTGAGCCCTTATACTAAAGACTTCTTTATTCTTGCTTCATCTCAGCTCCGACTAAGATCTTCTCAATCCATTACACCTGTAAATAAAATAAAATAAAATAATCATTTGTAAGAGTACTACACCAACAATAATCATTCAATATCACTTAAGTGTACATGTATATTTCTAATAATGCTGTTTACATTACATAAGAGCTAGTATGATAAACTTTAAAGCAGTTTAAATTTGCCATTAAATACATGCATTTCTGTATTATCACTTTGAATTCATAAGATGTAGGTTTTAAATGGTCTCGCCAAATCTCACCAAAATCCCTGTTCATTTTAAAGATATAAAACTGATATTGTCAGTTTATGTTTGAATATAGAATGTAAATTTTAGATTAAGTTGTACAGACATCAGATCCTCACACATTTCTTAGAGTTTGTAAAGTAAAGAAAGCCTAAAGCAATGTGATGTGATGCTTGTCAAAGTAAAAACACACAAGAGACGGAGACATTGATCATGTGAGGCTGGACGGCTGTGAGCTGAAGCTGGAATCTGCTCTGATTATTCCTGCGTTTTACAATCTCTGTACAACTATCAGTCTAATTTTGTTATAATAAATTCTAATGATTTTCTACTGATGCAATTCATAAACTTGTTCAATAAAGTTGTTTATTCTTTAGTTTTTCCTCCAGAAATCACTAAAGTACAAGCCCCGCCCCCCAGCTGATTCAAGAGATTTCATTGGTCAAGGCAAGTCAACTTCATTTATACAGCGCTTTTTACAATAGAGATTTTACAAAAGCAGCTTTACAGTCATAATAAGAAATTAAAGCAACATTTAAACAAGCAGCTCAAGAAGAAAGCCATTGTCCAGTTTAAGTAAGTTCAGGAGTGATTCATTTCCATTGTAAAAATTATATATAGGGCCATTTACACGACACAGTTTTTAACAGAAAACTTTGAATCAATTCTGGTCATCCATTTACACGACACAAGAAACCTGAGACCCGAGAACGCAAACTTTGAAACAGGTTTCAAAGAGCAAGTTTTTAAAAAAGATATCATTTTCATCTCTGTGTAAACTTCAAAAACATGAAAACGGTGATGGCGTACACATGAATATATCATGTTTAGTCTAGGTATGTGCATATGAATGTGTGTTTTTTAGGTGACATAAGTGACATCACTAACTACTTGTCTGTCTTACGTTTTTTTCTGAAGTCTGATCTTTCTTAGCTGGAGACTGTGATTGACCAATGATGTTGAATTAGCTGTGGGGTGGGCTTGTGCTTTACTGGTTTTCAATCAATTTAAATTTTGCCCACATTGTTTCAATAAAACTTAATGATATTTTCCTTGCACAAATGTTGAAAGACTGTCATAGATAATGAAAGTATCTTTAACATCACTGATGTTTACTCACCTGTACAGTTTGAGTCTCGTAACACGTCTCTGAGCTGCTTTGAGTCTCTGATCTTATTGTCGCTCAGATCAAGCACTTTTAAAAACTTCAGTGCATTTGAGTTCGTCAAAGACTGAGTTAAAGCAGAAACATCTGTAATGCCACAGTCCTTTAGGCTAGAACGAGACAAACAGACAAAGATCATCTTACTTTCACCAGATCACAAAACACAACTTAGGTGAATTATTTTCCACTGTAAACAGTCTTTTCAGAAGAGACTGAGAATAAACGTATTGAACACTTTGTTGAAGTGTTTGTTAAAGAGATTCTCCTCACAAGGTTACAGTTGGTTTATAGATGATGTTATGGTTTATTGTTTATAAAGTTTCTCTCATCAACACCTATCGTTTTGCTTCAGAAGACTTTAATTTATCAACTGGGGTGGAATGGATAACCGCTGTGTTTGCTTTGTGTGTTTTCTGAAGAATCATCTTTGAGGTCCAGTACACTTGTATAGACTCATAGAGACAGATTATTTATCTAAAAATCGTGGAGTTCATCTGGAGAACGTCATATAAAGCTGAAATGGCATAAGGGTGTGTAAATGATAACATTTTCAGTTTTGGGTTGAGTATCTCTTTATCGCTACACTACACTACACTTTTGGTAAAAAATTAAAGGGTAGCTACCCTGAGTAGTGAGGCATGTTGGCCATATAAGATTAACGTGGGCGTCGGCTATAAAAAGGTGATACAAAAACACTCCAAATGTTTTTGATTTTAATAAAAAAAAAGTCGAAAATCCTTTCACTCGTAGGCCGCCATAGTTATTTACGTCTCAATGCATTCTGGGTAGTGACGTGTAAAGGTTGTTGCTGGCCCAGTTTTGACAGTAGCGAGATGAACACGTCTGCCGTTCAGCCTTTTCAGTTTGAACCCGAGCGCACAGTAGGCTTAAATCAAGAGAATAAATGCAGAAAATGACAGGCATACTCAAGAGTTACATGAAAATTAATATTATCAGAGAGTTGAAGAAGCGAGAGTGGGGCAAAATAGATGGTGTCTGCGGCAGTGGCCAATGCCAAGCGAGAACGAGAGCGTTTGCTGTAAAGAGCTCCACTTTTTGTCAGCAGCTGTCCAGGGTAGGCTGTATAGATCAGACGATCGTACTATCAGTATAAATAATTTAATAAGTCATCTACCGCCGTCGTGTGCTTCCCTAAGCAGTCACTCACTATGTTGAACGCATATAGAAATAGCTGCTCTCGGACCTTGTTCAAAATCCTGCCGCACCACAGAGCACCATTAGGTTACATAGTTTTATATTAAATTTAAATTATTTGTCTCAAATCGTTATTATGTATTTACTGAGTCCACCCTGCGCAGCAATTAGAGCTGTAATCAACCAAAGAAATCCTTAGTCGACCAAATTCGTGTCCTGCCCAACGATTAGGCTAGTCGACCTAAAAAAATAAAAAATAAAAAAAGACGGGATGATTTGATTGAACATTTTTTAACAATTGTCATAGAGCATTTATAAAATAAAAACGAAAAAACATCAAAAATACATAAAACTATAATGATAATAGAATTCTTTGCATATTGAGAGATTTTTTAACTGCAAAGTGAGGAGCTCTGTATAGTAACAATCGCGCACCTGACCACTGCTACACGCTACAAAAAATTGCTATCTGCCACATAATGAAAAATCCTAACAAAAGCTCTCGTTATACAGGCTCTATATTCATCTTTACTTTCAAAGCTATGGGTTAACTTTTGTCCAGCCGATCTATGCGTTTTAAATCAAACGCACACAAAAACAAAAGCCCAAAAACAATCCTAATAATAATTAGCTGTATTGTAGGACCGCATATAGGTTTATTTTCGTTTTGTTATATTATTTAGGCTATTTTCGATTGCGTAAAGTGTACAAATAAAAACAAAAACAACACAATCTATTGAGTCAGCATGATAAAGATGACGTGCTCTTTTTTTCCAAGTGCGTCCACGCCGCATCGAGATAAAAACATATAGTGTATAAAAACATAAAAACCAAAACAAGTAGCGTTCTAACTGAATGAATACAGCTAAACTATATCGCTTACTGAGCGCGCAGCAGCAGCGCAGACAGCCTCAGGTGCGGACCGAGTGTTTATGTGTGTGCGCTAAACTGTGGTGCTGTTACAAAATAGCCTAAATTAAAGTATTTAAAGTTGGGGATAAAACATAGGCTAATTATATTTAGAATACAGTAATATATACCTGCTTATAAAGGAATATATCAAGGAGTAAATCATTGAAAATTTCTTTCTATAATTAAAAAAAAAAATGCAACAATAAGAATGTCAGTCGACCAAGACTGATTAGTCGACTAAACGGCTAAAGTTGACAGCAATATACATTTAAGATTACATTTATTTACAGAAATCAGCTGGTTGAATGAAAATGGCTGATGTTACCGGATTTTCAGGTGATGATATTCTCAATTCATTCAGTTAACTAACTTATCTAGCTAGCCGGTACGTTGGAAAAAACAAAAAACAAAGCAGCTACAGCGGCTAGGCTCAACCGACTGCAACCATTACACGTCACTACCCAGAATGCAGTGAGACGTAAATAACTATGGCGGCCTACCAGTGAATGGATTTTCTACTGTTTTTTATAAAATCAAAAACATTTGGAGTGTTTTTGTCTCACCTTTTTATATCTGACGCCCACGTTAATCTTATAAGGCGAACATGCCTCACTAGTCGGGGTTCCCTTTAAAACTCACTACTGGAGTTACTTTTCTCTGTGTAAGTGTGTATGATGCAGGTCATGTCCAATGAAATCCACACAAACAGCTCTAACATACAGTTCAATATTACAGGTTTATCAAAGTGTATAAGGGTTATTTTGTAAATTAATAATAAAAAAATGCATAGTGTAGCTTTAAAAATGTTGATTGTTTTAGTCGTTTTGATCTCAGGTGGCACAAAGCACAACCAGGCCTGGATATATGGGGTTTGAGCTTCTGTTGATCTCTAAACTAGACAGAGCACTTCCAGCACTTCTAAACAGATGGGGAGAGTTTAGAAATAGACGAAATTGCTACAGATGTTACTATTGTAGTGTGTGTGTGTGTGTGTGTGTGTGTGTGTGTGTGTGTGTGTGTGTGTGTGAGTGAGTGTGTGTGTTATTAGATTCCATAGATCTGCAAAAGGAAAGAGTCTCATAAACATGTGATTCTGAACTACATGAATATTAATATTAAACAAAATATGAAATCCAAAATGTGGTTTGTCCATAAGAGAAGTTTGAGAACCACTGTTGTGTGTGAATGTTACTGACCTCAATCTCTCCAGTTTACAGTGTGAATCCTTTAGTACGTCACATAAGTGATTCACTCCTAAATCTCCTAGTTTATTCTCACTCAGGTCCAGATGTCTCAGGTGTGATGGGTTTGATTTCAGAGCTGAAGTCAGGATGAGACTCTGTTCCTCTGTAATACTGCAACTATCCAGACTGAAGACAGAAAGAGAAAAGACTGAAATGCTTCATCAGGCACTTAGTTTATTAAGTTTTACTTAAGTTTACTAGTTAAAAGACATTTAAAATAAAGTGTAACAGAAGGTGCCGAGCTATAAACACTATTACTTGAGTCCTGTTGTCTTAAAATAAACTGTAAACTGTAATATCACAGTAACTGCTGTACAGTATAATGTTACTAACTGTAGTTTCTCCAGTTTGCACTGTGGGTTCATCAGTAGATCACTGAGGTTCTTCACTCCTGAGTCTCCTAGTTTATTCTCACTCAGGCTCAGATCTCTCAGGTGTGATGGGTTTGATTTCAGAGCTGAAGTCAGGATGAGACTCTGTTTCTCTGTAATACTGCAACTCTGCAGACTGAAGACAGAAAGAGAAAAGACTGAAATGCTTCATCAGGCACTTAGTTTATTCCCCATACTCTGTTTTTAAGGCTGTCACACTAGTTCTGTGTGCTGGAAGATGATGATTCTCCTCTTTCATTTTTCTTCTATTTCTTTTATGTCTCTTTTCTTTACTCTTTATCATAGCAGGAGATTTATTATTAGCATTTACACAATCAGTACATTCTTCAAATTTAACACAATAGACCTTAGTCAGGTTAGATGATATATTTGATTTATGTGGATGAAAATGAGGCAGTTAGAAAAAAAATGTATATATAGCAGAGTACTAAGATTATTACTAGTTAAAATACATTTAAAATAAAGTGTAACAGAAGGTGTCGAGCTATAAACACTATTACTAGAGTCCTGTTGTCTTAAAATAAACGGTAAACTGTAATATCACAGTAACTGCTGTACAGTATAATGTTACTAACTATATTGTCTCCAGTTTGCACTGTGGGATCATCAGTAGATCACTGAGGTTCTTCACTCCTAAATCTCCTAGTTTATTCCCGCCCAGGTACAGATGTCTCAGGTGTGACGGGTTTGATTTCAGAGCTGAAGTCACAGCAGAACAACCTTCATCCGTCAGTTCACAGCAGCTTAAGCTACATTTGGAGAAATGAGAAAAACAATATCTTCATTTTGCAAAGTTACAGCATCTTCATAACAAATTAAGGAAAAATCCCAAACTGATTTTCTGCGCCCTTCAATGGCCGAGGAGACACGATCTGTAGGGACAGGGATCTGCAGGGATCTGTGGTTTTATTTGTGATATATAGGCCTATAACACACATTTTCATCTTGAATTTCATATGAAGTTTAAATAACTTAACAGGTAAGACATGTTTTTAACAGTAGATGTGAGGTAAATGTGACTATACCCGCGGTGTCCAAAGACAGGTTTCAGTGAGTCAAATTTAAGACTTTTAAGACATTTTAAGACTGTAGTGAACAGGACGGCCGAGGGGCGTGAGAGAGCGGCGCGAGGCCGGTGGTGTGATTGTTAATGAGCCGCACCTGTGAGCACACCGGTCTCGCATCTCTCACAGACGAGCGGAAGAATAAAGGGGGGCGACGACGTGGATGATCGAGAGATCCTGCTTTTGTTTCTATTTTGTTATATTTTATTTCGGTAGCCAGCAGTTGTCCACGAGGCGCTGCTGGCAGGCAGGCTATTTTGTTTGTTTATTTCAGTTAAATAAAGTTTTATTTGATTGTCCTCCGGTTCTGCCTCCTTCTTCCTTAAACCCTGCTACACTGGTGCCGACATAGTAGATATCATATAGAGACTAGATTGCCTATTGGCCGCTGGGCACTGAGAAATCCGGCCGCCATCTTGAACCGGTCATATTCCTATTGTGTTGTATAGCAGCAGTAGATGACAGAGCACTGTGCAGCATATTCATGCTCAAATCGGCAGACTATCACTCGGGAATTACTTTTCACAAGTAAGATTTAAGATTTAACATTACCGTACTATTGGTTGTATTTTGTGAATAAAATATCCCATGTGTCCTGTATCATAGCTGCATGTATGACCTTTGCAGCAAAAAACCCCGCGTGAAAATCAGTTCGTTATTCAGTGAGATATGATTCATTTAATGCGCTGACAGCTCATATCACCTGCCAAACAGATTACACTGAGCCGAGCGGATGACCAGTTTAAGATGGCGGCCCCACGGATTGTTTGTGCCAATAGGCAGTAGCGGTCAATAGGGCGTCTATCTATATGATGTCATGCCGAAACCCAGGAAGGAGGAGGCAGAACCGGAGGACAATCAAATAAAACTTTATTTAAATGAAATAAACAAACAAAACACCATAAAGATTGAAATTTAAGACATACCAAATAAACTTTGCATTACCAAAAAACATATTCAAATCAAAGAAATTCTGAAAAAAATATTTTATTTAAATGAAATCAGTCTTCAGAAAAATGATTACAGTTATCACAGAATTATGTTCAAAAAGTACTAACACTACACAGTGAAATCAATTCAACAAGTTTTATGTTGAAATCCACCAAATAACAAAAATGAATCTACTTATCTACTTATCTACTAACATGTACAAGTTCAAATTAAGTTTTGACAAAAAAGGCTTTATAAAAAGATAAACCTCACATATCATTTAAATCATTTTTTATAAGAATGAGTCAAAAATGATGAATTACTGACATTTACAATGCACATCAGTTTACCTTTTATTTTATCTCTGCGTCTGTCTTTGCTATGCAACCATTCACTGACAAAGAAGTTTTAGTAGCTAATGGATTTCCACTACTGAAAAACGCTTGCTGTAGTTCTGCTACAAGATTGATTAACGGAGAAGAGAAAATCACCCGCAGTGTTTGGGTGCACACATAGACAATAAAAGAAATGGACACAGCGACCCCATAGACTTCAACGGAGAAAAGTGAAGCCCATTAGAAGCATCTCTTCCTGATGGCTGAGCGACTGCTCACACTGAGCTGGATGACGGAGATGTGACGTGATCGACCGGTCTGACCTTCTAGTAGCTGTGCCAAAACAAATCTGAACTGAAATCTGAAACAAATCTGTTGTTGAAATATTTCATCTCGTTGCTTTTATGAGCTCTCTATCTTTGGGCTTCTGCCTTGACTTTATGCCTCCATGTCCCCCATGTCCAGCCTCATAGACAGTAAAAGATTGCTTGAGCTTCTCCTGCTGTCTATACGGTAATCTCCAGTGGTGGAGGAAGTACTGAATCTCAGTACTTAAGTAAAAGTACAAATATCCAGATAAATATTTGCTTTCGTAAAAGTAGAAGTAACACAATGACAACCATACTTAAGTAAAAAGTAAAAAGTACCTGATTTTAAATGTACTTTACCTATTAAAAGTAAAAGTACTTGCAACAATTTATTCTCTTAATGTCTATTTTCTAATAATTAATAAAACATTTAATTCTAACTCATTCCACCTAATACTCCTATAATGATGTTCAATAATGATGGAAAAAAAAATGTTGTCACCATTTCTTCCATTACACATCATGCTTATCTTTACTATATGTTAATAACCATGTTTGGCAGAAAACGCGATTAATTTATGGTGTTATTCTGAACCTCTTGGCTTGCCATAATCCTTACCAAACGTATATTACACAAAGTGCGTTTCCTATGCACGTAAAAACAAATTTCCGCATATAAATTGCACGATAAACGCACTGCGTGCGAGACGCATTTAGTTGATGTATATGGCAACCAAACGTCACTGGTGAGACAAACGTGCAACGGGCAGACGGTCAGATTCATGTTTTGGCAGGGGAAAAACTGATCAGAAAATGTAATGAAAAAGTAACAGAATAAGTTGTAGAAATGTAGTGGAGTAGAAAGTATAATATTTGCTGCAAAATGTAACGAAGTAAAAGTAAAAAGTATGCACTATTTATTTTACTTAAGTAAAGTAAAGATACGTGAAAAATGTACTTAAGTAAAGTAACAAAGTATTTGTACTTCGTTACATTCCACCACTGGTAATCTCTCTACTGTGTGACAGAGACTCGCTTGTTATGACGCAATCCTTAGCCTATTTTTACAAAAACGGCTTCTACGGGGTCATAACGTAAGATACAAGGTAATGGAGCCTTTTATACATTGTTGTGTTTCTTTAGAAATAAATAATGGACAAATGAAGTCTTTAAATGCCTCAGATGTAAAGTTATTCACTGTCAAAGTGACACCAAATTGAATGGGAGTCAATGGGATGCTAACAGCAGAAGTTCTGCTACAATGGCGGCTCCCGCGAGGCTTCAGCTTCCGGCTGATGGATTACACACTTGAGTGCACCCCATACTTCATGTTGACTGAGCTTTTAATGTTGTAACAGAAAGGATGAAGCTGATTGGTTGGTTCTTGTCACATGACCTGCAGTGCGTTTGCGGCATTCTGAAAGTATAGATTTTCTCATCTCGCTGCGCCTGAAAAAACGAGTGTGTCGCTTCAATTATGAGTGCGCTAGCCGTGCGCCTACATTAGAACTAACTTGAGCGCGCAAAAGCTGCGATATGGGAACGCCCCCTCGGTGAGCTTCCTCCAATCAGACACGAGCTCCTGGCCGCTCGCGAGTGACGTGTTGGAGACCCCTGCTCTACAGCTCCGCTCTGTACGACTCAATGCTTTTTTGCTACTTTGTAATAATTTTCTGGGGCCAGCCCTTCTGGAAATGAACGAGCGTAAAAGACCTGACTTAATTAATTCTTTTTAGACCTGACTTTATTAAATTTATTGTTTAAAGCCTTAAATTTAAAATTCATAATTTTATACTTTTTAAGACCCCGCAGGAACCCTGCAAAGAAGAGAGGGCAAGTTTTTATACATTTGAGAGAAGAGAGAACACCCATCACTCATAAAGCATATTTTAAAAGCTTCATTATAAAATGAATATTTATTTGCAACAATCATATTATTGTAAAATTGTTAATGTAGGAAAAGCTAATGGGCTGCTGGATGTTATACTGTGTTGTCATGGTAACATTCCAAGTGAAGATAATGAGGAAAGTACATTGTGTTTGTCTTCATCAAGTCAAAACAGCTTCATTGCGACAAAAGCCCTGATGCCCTTAAAGTCTCCATTTCAAGGACAATCAGAGTAAGAAGGGCATAAGGACGCTCACCTCACCAAAACTGTGAACTCAATGTCTTGATTTAAACTGTAGAAGTGATTTTAAGAAACATAATTGATGTGTGTGAATGTTACTGACCTCAATCTCTCCAGTTTACAGTGTGAATCCTTTAGTACGTCACATAAGTGATTCACTCCTGAGTCTCCTAGTTTATTCTCACTCAGGTACAGCACTCTCAGGTGTGATGGGTTTGATTTCAGAGCTGAAGTCAGGATGAGACTCTGTTTCTCTGTAATACTGCATCTATACAGACTGAAGACAGAAAGAGAAAAGACTGAAATGCTTCATCAGGCACTTAGTTTATTCCCCATACTCTGTTTTTAAGGCTGTCACACTAGTTCTGTGTGCTGGAAGATGTTGACGTTAACGAGTCTTCTATTTTAATTGGAATTTTTGGAATTTTATTTTACTTTATTTGGTAATACTTTACAGATCCTATTAGTTAACATCAACTAACAAGTAGTTTTTGAAGTAAAACAAGAAAGATTAGTGCAGATATTTAATAAGTATTTATCTGCAAATAAGCTATTTTTTAATACAGTACCAAACCTTATTATACACTACTTAAAGCTATGGTATACGATTTCAAAGATTGTTCATTATTAATATCCTCGTTTAGATGCTGGTTATGGTTATATAGTACAATCCTAACAATATGAATAGAAAACAGAATGAAAAAAATCCATTCACTCTATTGGCTGTACAGCCGCAGAGAGGTTGACCAATGTAAGCTGTCCGGCCGGACATTGGTCAACTGCTCTCATCCAATCACCAGCTCTGCTTGAAACTCCACCTGGCGCTCGCGTCTCCAACCCAACCGCACCCGACCCCGCCCCCCTCCGTGCGCGAGCAAGCAGCTGACAGACAGTCTATGGTAGCTAGCTAAGTAGCGTCAGATCAGCAATAGATAAATAAATGAATGACAGCAGTAAGCGGCCCCTGCTGGCCCCTACAGTAAAGTTTGGATGAAAGAGAAAGTCTGTGGAGGAAAGAGCAGAGATTAAAAAAAAATGTAACACCAGACTCTAAGTAGGATAAATATTAGGGATACAACGGTACACGGTAAAATCCCGGACCGTTCGGTCAGCCCTGCACGGGACAATCTATCCTCGTGTCCCGCGGGACTTCGGTTTTGCCATAGAGTTCGTGCTGATCCTTTTCCCGTATTTTCCGCACTATAAGGTGCACTTAAAAGCCTTTAATCTTCTCAAAAAACGACAGTGTGCCTTATAATCCGGAGCGCCTTATGTATGGATCAATTAGTTAACAACACTCCGCATTATTAAATTCGCCCGCAAACTCGCGCTCGTGTCCAGCTTATGCCCGCTTTGTCACTCGGCCAGTTCAAGCTCGTATAAATCAGGTTATGTGTGTGTCTCCCGCTCACGAACGCTCACTCTTAACAGACACACGAACAGACAACATCTTTCATTTTTCAACAATATCTTTTGTCAGTTTTCTTTACTCTTTATCACAGCAGCAGATTCTGCAGAACGACATCTACACAATCAGTACATTGTATCAAATTATTCAACTTTAATGCAATAGACCTTAGTCAGATTATAAAACAAATGTAATAAATAAATAAATAATAATATTGACGCAGATGCTTTTCTGTCTCATTATTTCAACTCGGGTGTGCATTATTTTTCTAATAATTCAATGGCCTGTCATCAGTTATTCTTTACATAAATTTCATATTTACCTGTACCATACAGAAATTTAATAAAGTTATTGAACAGTCCGCACTGCACAAATTATAAATGAAATATAGATGAATCCTCATTAAAGCTACAATTGTTCTTTAGTCAAGAGCAGTGAGTAATTATCTCTGTTCCCTCTGTTCTTTAGGTTAACTTTACAGACAGACAAAATTATTGGCTCCTGTCACTTTAAAGGGATAGTTCACTTTGAAATTAATTTTGATATGTTTTAGCTAATCTCAAGGGCATCCAAGATGTAGGTGTCTTTGTTTCCACAGTATTTTCAATTTTTATATTTTTAGGTCAAACCGTTCGTGTCTGTCAGTCATATAATGGAGGTCTATGGTCACCACCTCAAAGAGCATGCACAGATTAAACATGATTTAATGACTCATAAATGTACGTACACATTGATGGCCTAAGACACGAAACGAGCGGTTTGTGTGAGAAAACGAATAGTATTTATATTGTTTTTACCTCTTGTAACCACTGCTACAAAGCGCCCGTGCCCTCAGATCACTTGGATGTGTCATTAAATCATGTTTAATTTGAACTTCTCTGTGCATGCTCATTGAGGTGGTGACCATAGACCTGCATTATGACTGACAGACAAGAACGGTTTGACCAAAAAATGTCAAATTGAAAATACTGTGGAAACAAAGACACCTACATCTTGGATGCCCTTGAGGTAAGATAAAACATATCTAAAATTAATTCTAAAGTGAACTATCCCTTACTATTCGAAAATAGAATAAGTACATCCAAACCGTAGTATGTTGAAATGAGTGTTTCAAAAATAACAAGATTTTCTTCTATTTCCAGTCAGAATCCGAAGTGTAGATCGATGCACACTCGTACGTATGAGGTGGGAAGTCGTGTTTACGACTGCAGTGCGTTCAAGTCACTTTCGATGGAGGAAAATGGCGGAGTACTTTCTCTTAATTAATTACACAAAAATACAGTAAGGTTCTTAAACTCTTGTTCCAGAAAATGAAGAATTGGGTTATGTTGCATCAGATGTACTTTGTTTTTTTTATGTTTTTAATTAATTTATGAAGCCACTGCCAACTTTATCGTTACATGTTGCACTGTTATATTATAATGTCATCATATTCTGTGCAGGCATTTCACTTAACTGCGCTGTCAATAAGAAAACCTTGACAATATCACTGCATAATATTTCAGTATTGTGGTATTCCGCCATGTTTCTCAGTGACACGCCCAAAATTGAAAAGATCGGGGCTTATAGAAAATCCCGAGCTCCTCATTGATATTTACGACATTGTGGTGGCGTACACATCAAGTGTGTTCAACTCGTAAATACGATCTATATGAGATGACTTGAACGCAACACATAACGTCTGATATCGCCCACAACCATCGCGCGTTGGACGAGGATTCGGTTAGAACTACAAACAAGAGTAAAAGAAACTACAGACATGGAGGACGTGCGAGTCCCGGGGTTATGTAGAGAGGTTTAGATAAAGAGGTTTGAGTGATATCAGTATCTAACCTGACGAAAATGAATTTATTCAATGTTGTCCACATTATATTGCATCTGCAGCAGCATTGTGAACTTCTGTAAAGATATGTTTAGCCATACCTTTTAAATGCATCATTATATTCAAATTGCAAACACGTGGAGAGTATCCGCATGAAAGACCCACAAATGGCAGATGAACGTGCTCTCCGAAACGGTAGGAAATCAAATTAGATTGAATGGAGGATTTTAACTGTGACGAGATGATAGACAAGGCAGTTTATGGTGACAGGATCACGCAGCACGACACGAGACAGAGCCGTCCGTTAAAGATGACGTGATAGTATGTCCCAAAGCTTGCCTACTCTTTAGCCACACACTCAAAAGTATGTACTTTTTCTTCACAATAGTCCTTTTAGGGCGTAATATAAGTAAGCGAATTGGGACGCAGCACCAGTGTTTTTTCTTTCTGTACTATTTTCAAAGGTCAGCAAAACATTACTCTGATAAAGTGGAGAAAAAAGAGAAGAGCCCTTGTTGCAGCCTGGGTGAATTTAGCGATGATCACTGCTACATCGGTTCATGTAGGAGCGAGAGTGAATGAACGGCACAGCGAGCGCACGTCTGTGCCATTCATTTATTCATTCATATACCACACAGACCAAGGTTATTTTCGTAAATGAAAACTGAAACTAAGACTAAAACTATTGGTCAAAAAACATTTTCGTATACTGAAATAAAATTAAAAATTCATAATTAATGAAAAACTAAAACTAAACAAAACTAACAACAGTTACTAAAAAACTAAATGAAATAAAATAATAATTAGCAAAAATAAATAATTGTTTTCGTAAATAATAAGCTCTTAAGTGACCTGAAGCACTTCAAGGATCCCCACTTCAACAACCTCCGCCAGTATACAAAAGGGTTTGCCGATCGACTTCGTCTGAATGAGGGGTCAATTCCTTCTATTATTTAGCTGCTGTGTTTTCTGATGCTTTTCTACACGTAAGTTATTATATTATTATTAATACAGATTTTTAGTGGTAAGTTTGGACTGTAGTCATTTATCTTGTCAGTGTGCTTGTTTTAACAAGAGAAATAGTCGACTTTCACTAATAACACAACATAGTTAACTTCACGTTACATACCCCTGCATCCATAATTATGAAGACATTGTTCTGCAGGTTCGTCGTCGTCTTTTTCAAATCGCTCGCTCTGGCTCGAATATGTAAGGCTTGATGGACAAGTCTTCCGTTGTTGACATTTTGTTAACGAGTGACTAAAAATGTTCTTTGAAGCTATAGTATATAATCGTATATCTCTTATCAAACTACAATAATGGCTGAACGCAACCGAGTGTGAACAACTGAACAACAACAACCTGCAGAGCGGGAAAGACGCAACTCCATTTTATTTAAAGGGGCCACTTTGAAACGGGTCACTCACAGACGCACATCAGAAAAGGGGTCGAAAAGGGGCCTGTGGAGCTATAATAATGAAGAATTCAGACCCAAGCATTGCAGTTATGCTTTATATAGACCACAAATGTATGATTTATAAGTAAAAATGAATGATTTAAAAGCATGATATGTACCCTTTAAAGGGCACCTATTATGGAAAATTCACTTTTACATGGTGTTTGAAAATGAATGTGTGTTGGCAGTGTGTGAGCAAAACCTAGAATGATAAAAATCCACCTAGTGTTTTTTTTTTTTTTACAATCTTAATAAATCATATGCACTGTCTCAGAACGAGCTGTTCTAAGATTCAGCTCTTTGTGATGTAGAAAGTGAGAAAGGGGTTTGATTGACAGTGTGGTTGTGGCCTAGACCCCGCCCTCGGTGATCTGCACACCATCCTCCATTGTTTCAACGACAGCCGGTAATATCTCCTAGAATCATAAGTCTTATGCTGTGGGATGGGATGCAATAATGACATACATAGTAGTTTTCACTTATTTCATCATCAGAGCCACTGAAAACACAGTAGATGTATTGTTTTCTGGAAGTTTAAGTGGCGCCTTTCCTTCGTAAATAAGTTTATGTTTGAGCGAATCATTTTCTGACTGACTGTTTTGTGAACGAGGGTCAATTGAAAGCAGGTCTTGCTTAAAAGTTAATCCTCAAGTGTGGATCGTCGTCTACTGTTCGCAATCCACCGTCACCTCCAGTAACAGTAAGTGTATTTTATGATTTTTGAGCAAATAGTCTTTTCAGTCTGTCAGCCAATTCAACAACAAATGCGTCTAAAGTTGTTGTCGTCGTAGGATGTCTGTGTATATAATTTAAACCTTGTTTGTATAGTGTGTAACCACACGTTTACAAATATATATATATATATTTTTAAAGATATTGTATTAAAAACTGCATACATGTTGTTGTTCTGTAAGTTAGTCATCTTCTCACATTTGCCACAGAAGCACCTGTATGACCAGTAAACATGACGCAACAGGTCCCTGCATGAATGTAATTTCGCTTGTACGTAGCAAACTTTATCAAAGTATGGGCCCTATCTTGCACCCGGCGCAAATGACTTTATACACAAATGCATGTCTCATTCCTATTTTGCACGCGTGCAAAGCGGGATTTTCCCCTCCACAGACGCACGTCGGTAAACTAGGAAATAAACTTGCGGTCCCTGGGCAGATCGGCGCAAAAAAGAGGCGTGTTTCGGTTGTGAACGCTCCTGGCGCGCGCCTGGTAAACCCGCCGTTATAATAACAATCCGTCATGCAACATGCGCACCTGCTCTTAAAGGGTATGTTGGATGGCGCTCTGATTGGTTTATTTCCGTTACGCCTAAACCACACCTATGAATAATGAAGCTACTTCAGACCAACCCCTTTTAGATTTGCGCCAGGCGCAAGAGGCATTTATCCCGCCGGGAAAATAGCAACAGCGCCCAAGACCCGCCCACAAAGTTACTTGCGCTTTGACACTTGCGTTTCAGATCATTAAAATAGGGCCCATTGTGTGTAGGGTCTACATGCGATTTATTTTAAATTGGCTATTTTATTATTTCAATATCCAAATTTGACACTAAATCCCACAGGGAAAAGGGTTTCTATTTGTGACATGCAGTCTTTGCATTTGAACATTGCACATTTTAAACAGGACACGCATTAGCTGGATAAACGTTAGCCGATAGAAACATACTTGTAGAAAATAGTTAATAATAATAGAAAATAATAGCAAAACGAATCACTTATTCTAAAAAGAGTATGAAGTATAAGTTAGACGAATCTGACATATAGGGCTGTGTTAATAGTAAAACGTCCGTCATTAAACAAATTTTAAAAACACGGATGGACATTAAGAAATGCTATCTGACATTTTGACAGGAACAAAACAACCAAGAACAAAATTTAAACTTAGAAGATCATTGTAAAATGAAAATTGACGGGCTCTCTCTGTATGCACGGTCTGTGTTTGTGTGGGAGAGAGAGCTCGCACAGCACTGATACAACAGTACTTTTTAATCCATAAGTAAATAACGCACTAGTTTTTATACAAAATTATTATGTAACATGATTAGGACCTTAGTTATTATTAACACAATAACGTAAGACATGCAGGCTGTGTTTCTCAACACTGAGAATGAATTAAGAAATGCCAGTTTCTCCAGACTCGCGTTTATCAGTAATCCACAAATCGCAGCACTTTCATAATCACTAAACAATTGGCTTTATGCACAGCTGCACTACTTCCTGAACTTCAGCCAGCTCCTTGTTTCCTGTCTGCCATTATTGGTCAAATTGATTAATTCAGGTGTGCCTGACCTTAGTAGTCACGGCAACAATAATCAGACACACCTGAGTTAATCAAGTTTGGCCAATAATGGCAGACAGGAAACAAGGAGTTGGCTTAAGTTCAGGAAGTAGTGCAGCTGTGCATAAGGCCAATAGCGGTTTTAATTTAATTTAGATTTATTGTTCATAAATACTTAAGCTTTTAATAATATGCATGGCTGAGTGATGTCTTCCTCTTATGACCATGAGTGACCATGAATGACGGAGTATTTTAAAATAATCCATGCGATCACTCCCGTGTGATCATCGAATCCAGATTAAGTTAAATCAATACAATATTTAAACTTTGCACATTCACTCAGTCCGTTTCCCTTCAGGACACAGAACAGAAGTACCGTGACTACTGTAAAGTGACTACTGTAAAATTACTGTCCTCACTTATGAACTCAACGGCGGGCCGCGGGAGTGGAAGGGGGATCTAGCGGGATTCTTTATGTCTGTCAATTTTAGGGTTGGGTACCGAAACTCGGTTCCAATAGGGAACCGGTTCTGACGTAAACGGTAGTAACCAGACCGAATAAGAATGAAAACTTCGGTGCCTGATTTCGATTCCTGAGTCTGTGGCATGAGGCGCACACACGCAGTCTCTCACTGTTTCCCTCTCCCTCTCCAACGTGCGCGCACTATACGGTTTATTGAAGCACTGTCTGATCTGTCGTGCACACGCGCTCTTGCTCACTCGCTCTAGATTCCGGGAGATTTGAACTAATTTGCGATCATACGGGAACTCCGGGAACGTCTACTGGATAGCGAGGAGATTAAACACACGTGAAATGTACACGTGAAATGTTTGGCTGCATTTCACGTGTAAAATTACGCATCAGAATAACGATTGTCTATGGATATGCTCCACAGAGTTCTCTGTCGAAAAAGGAAAGCTTGTCAGCAGCGCGAGATATTTGGCAGCGAACGCAGCGTCTCGTTCCCTATTCAGAGAACATGGGTTACACAGAGACGTTCTCTTTCATATGTTTACTCAAAGCTGCGTATAAGACGCAGTGGGAACGAAATATCAAACTGGCTAAGATCTTAACTAGTAAATGACGAGATAACTTACATGACTAGTTAAAGCAGACAAAACATGGGAACCTGTAGCCATGTCGATATTATATTACCCTGGTAGTAATCTCTATTAATCTCCAGTATAATTACATTGTTTGATATAATATTGTTTTATTTGATACTATGTAAATATGAACTTTTATTTTATATTGGTTTATTTATTATTACCATATGTTACTTGTATTTATATTGTAAGTTAATATTGTGTCCAGTTTGGCCCTGTAAATAAAGAGGTATTATTTTTTTTTGACAAAGTGTGTGCGGTTTCGTTTTCTTAAGTACCGTTTCAAGAACCGTTTAGGCACCGGAACCGTTTAGAAAATACAGAGTAGGTACTGGTATCGGATAAAACCCAACCGATACCCAACCCTAGTCAATTTTCAGTCTCTTTTTAATGAAAGACCTTACGCATCTGTCAATCATTCTGTCAATCTTGCTATTTGGGGAATGAACACAGCCCTATGATTGGACAAACTCTTCTTCTTTTCCTGTTGCTTGATTTAAGGACTGCGCATGGACAGAGGCGTCACCAGGTTATTGCGTAGTTTAATCAATCGTACCAGCGTACTTTGAGGTCAAAATGTGTATCCGCTATGCAAAATGTGTACAGATTGGCAGGTCTGCTGTTATAGATAATGTTTGACTTTCTCCACTGTGTTAGTGGTGAATTCGCAATAGAATTCAGATGAGTTGCACATTTTATCCCCAGTGTCACGATAGGAACGGCTCGAGCAAATCTTATGACACTGGTATAACGCGCTGGTGAACGCTCGTAGAGTAGTGGTGATTCGTGAGCGGCACTCATGCACAGTCAAATAAACCATTTGATTCATACAGGAACTTTGTGCCTATAAAAGCTCTGAACGTGTGATTTATATAAATAATTAATGGCCTTATTCTATGTTTACACTAACCATGGTAGGCTATAAATGCATGTTTTGGTTATTGGGGGACTATTCCCCATGTCATGTCTGACAGAAGTTTATCATTTTAAAATTACTTATCAATTTTAAAACACCTATTAACTGATAAAAAAATAAACAACTGTAACATTTCTATTAAAAATACTATTTTTAACCATGTAAAATACTCACTTCAGTGTGTTGAGTTTACAGTGTTTATCCTGCAGTAGAGCAGCGATCTGATTCACTCGTGTGTCTCCTAGTTCACGTTCACTCAGATTCAGCTCTCTCATGAGTAATGGGTTTTTACCCACAATCCCAGTCACATACTGACAGGCTTCATCTGCAGCAGGACTCAAAAACCTGCAGAAGAGAAGATGAAGCAGGATTCAGTTAAATTCTCAACTACACTTGGTGTAATGACAAAATCCATTTTACATGATTTTTGTCTTGAAATCACTTAATCAACTTTGATGTAACAACATATTATGTAGCTTATTGTATTATTGAAATAACATTTCTATAAATAATCGGCTATATATAATGTATTTTTTAATACATTAAAAATCAAATAAATAATAGTATTTCCTCATGTCTCACCTCAGTGTCTTCAGTTGACAGTTTGGATCCTGCAGTAAATCACTGAGCTGCTTCACTCCTGATTCTCCATGATCATTTCCTCTGAGATCCAGCTCTATCAGGTGTGAAGGGTTTGATCTCAGAGCTGAAGCCAGAGCTTTATAACCTTCTTCAGTGATACTACAGTCTGAAAGTCTAGAAAAAAAGACAATGTTATATTTAGATAATTAATCTGTTATTTTAGAAAGTACCTGAACAAATTAAATTAAATAAACTGAATTATATTTTGTTCCTTGTACAACAAAAATTATAGTCAATTGAAAAACAAAAAGAGACAAATGGAAATGCAGTCAAACAAAACGCCCCAAAGAAGCAATATCAACGCTTATCGCCAACACATTGATTTTTTTTTTTTTACTAAGCCTATTTAAAATCGTATTTGATTGCGTGCCGTTACTCTGTCTCAAGCTCGTTTTCTCGCATTTGCCCTGGTATTTTTGACTTGGACTGTGTTACTCGCTTTTGAACCTCTGCTGCCTGCCCCTGACCTTTGCCTGTTTGATGTACGCCTTTGGATTGCCCTGTCCAGTGTTTTGTGTTTGAGTTTGCTGCCCTTCTTGTCTCGGGCCTTGAGTTTATGACTGCTTACCTTTGCTGGCTGACCTGTGTTAATAAATTACTGCAAATGGATCCGTCCGCCTCTGCCTCTTCGTCACAAGCGCATTGACGCAGCACTACCTCACTTGCTCAAACTCAATATTTTTACAAAAACTCAATATTTTTACACACTGCAGCTAAATTCATTTGTCAGTTCACCTTTTAGTGCTTAATCCTGTTTTGTACTCGCAGAGTGTACAGAATGACAACCACATTCAACAACCGAATTAACTCCCTAAAAATGCAGGTAGTGACAACCGCAAAATGCTATGCAGTGTGTATAAAACAGAACTGAACAGCTAGTTGTTAATGACGTATTTTATCATGCATCAAAAAATCTTCTTATGCGTGAAGCAAGAAATCACAGCAAAAGTGGTTTGAACCTCATTTGTATTGTCACCAAAATATTGTGACCCGCACTTTAATTACATAAAGTCTACTGGGTTCTGTTAAAGAACAGGGTTCTGTTCTTGGGCCTCTTCTCTTCATCATCTACATGCTCCCATTAGGTAATATCATCCGTCATCATGGCTTTAAATTCCACTGTTATGCTGATGACACCCAACTATACATTCATTCTCAATGCAATTCTCCTTTTCCCACAAATTCCATATCAGCCTGTATTGATGATTTAAATGCCTGGATGACTAGTAATTTTCTCAAGCTCAACACCGACAAAACAGATCTACTTCTTATTGGCTCACCTCGAATCACACCCCGTTTCTGTGTTGACAATGTTCACATTGCTGGAGTTTCGGTTCAACCTTCCACTACTGTTAAAAACCTTGGTATAATCTTTGATTCCTCTCTTTCCTTCCTTCCACACATTTCCTCGCTCACTAAGTCTGCCTTCTTCCACCTTCGTAATATTGCGCGTTTGCGTCCATTTCTGAACATCACCGATGCTGAAACTTTGGTTCATGCTTTCATCACATCACGGCTTGATTACTGCAATTCTCTCTTCTATGGCTTACCCGACTCTTCTATAAATAAACTCCAATACATACAGAACTCTGCAGCTAGGGTCCTCACATACACTAAGAAATCTTCCCACATCACTCCGATTTTACGCAGACTTCATTGGCTACCGGTACGCTTTAGAATTAACTATAAGATCCTGCTTATCACATTCAAAGCACTCCATGGTCTTGCCCCCCCCTATATTTCTGATCTCATCCATACCTACTCCCCAGCTCGCACACTTAGATCCTCTGATACTGGTCTTTTAAGGATTCCACGGCACAAACTATCATCATTTGGTGGAAGGGCTTTTTGTACTGCTGCCCCAACTCTCTGGAATTCTATTCCCCAAGACATCCGAGACCTCTCAACATTACATGAATTCAAAACTCACCTTAAAACTTATCTTTTCGCTTCTTGTTTCTGCTGATTTCTTTGTTTTGGTACCACTATCTCAATTTATATTTGTTTTTTCTATGTCATGTTTCTATGTCTCAACATTTTGTATTGTTTATATGTCATATTGTTATGTGATGCTCACTTGTACTTACTGTAAAGCGACCTTGAGAACTTTGAAAGGCGCTATATAAAATAAACATATTATTATTATTATTATTATTACTGCTTTAACAGCAACCCCAAATATGCTTATAATAAGTGGACATGGCAACACTGTAAAAGCACACTCTTTCAAACAGCCTTTACAAGGATAAAAACACGATGCCTCCGTCGACTGTGCTTTAGTTAAAATTGCTTAACCTGTTAGCCAGCAACCCCACTTTTGAGAAATTTTTGCTGAATTATATGTGCGCTGTTGTTGACGTCCCAGTCATCCAGAGAGACTACAGTTCGAGCGATCTCTTCCAAAAGGTATTTGAAGTATCTGAGGGAAGCCGGAGTTGATCGTTAACTCGTGTGAAGTCGTGGAGTGTGAGTAAAAGGATATATAAACTCATGAGCGGTTATTGCGGGACTAACTGACTTTATAGTTTATTTGCTGCCCTTTGATACACTGTGGAAACCTTGATGGACTTTGACTGTTTCTCTGAACTCCTCTTTTCGCACAATCTTTCCACACTAAGACTATGTGAACTGTGTGAAGAAGGTTTGATATGAATGAAACCTGTGTTGTTTGCTGTATTGTTTATATTGGTGTTGTGTATGTTTATTATTCCTATTATTCCAATGGTGATGTGTGGTGTGATGAAATTGGTACTCTGTCATGGTGAATATAGCCTACTAAAATATTTGCATATTGAACCATAGTGGTTGGGTTTTCTTAGAGTCTACACTTGCAACATTAAGGGTTCATGTTAATTAATTAATATGTGTCTTGTGTTTGCTTTTCCTTCTTGACGTGACTAACGACCCTAAACAAGATTATATCTTGATTATATTTTGCCAGAATATATATCTGTCTGGCACCCCAGTATAAAATGAAGTAGGAAAGTGTTACACAGGCATGTAGTCCTTCCCAACAAAACCAACCATCAACAAACTACTTGTCTGGCCTTAAAATTTATAATACAGAATTATAAATTAACTGTCGTCAATTAACTCATGAAATAATTAAAAGGGCGATAAAATCTGTCTCAAAACTGCATGCATACATGTATTTGTTATTGTGATGCCGGTGCCTAAATGTGGCAGAAACAGGAAGGAGGCTGGATCCAAACGCAGTGTAGAGGCTTTATTTAGACAAACTACATCTTTTAACAAAGATTCAGGAACAGGGCTCAGGAACAGGGCTCAGAAACAGTAGTGACAAACATCGACCTCACACGTACAACAACTCACAAACTAAGACAGAAACACAGGGCTTAAATAATCAGACAAGCAAACTTAACGAGGTAACAAGGGGGCGTGGACAATAGGAAACACCTGGAAAAACTCAATAGACAGGGAACCACTAATAATACAAAGACAAAGACAAAACCACATCATGACAGAGCCCCTCCCCTATGGGCGGCTCCTGACGCCCATAAAAACAAAAAAGTTCTGGTGGGCGGTGAAGCGGAGGCGGTCTGGGGGAGGGACGGAGGGCCAGGCCCGTGCAGGGGAACGGGACCAGGAGGTAGCCAAGGCGAGCCTGGGCCGCGGAGCGTGGGCGGAGCAGGACCAGGCGAAGGCCAGGGCGGAGCAGGCTGTGGACGTGACCAGGGCGGAACTGTGGAACCCTCGGGCATCCACAACAGTGAAGGTCCCTCAGACGGCCACGGTGGTGAAGACCTTTCGGGCGGCCACGGCGGTGAAGACCCCTCGGGCGGCCACGGCGGAGAAGACCCCTCGGGCGGCCACGGCGGAGAAGACCCCTCGGGCGGCCACGGCGGTGAAGACCCCTCGGGCGGCCACGGCGGTGAAGACCCCTCGGGCGGCCACGGCGGTGAAGACCCCTCGGGCGGCCACGGCGGTGAAGACCCCTCGGGCGACCACGGCGGTGAAGACCCCTCGGGCGGCCACGGCGGTGAAGACCCCTCGGGCGGCCACGGCGGTGAAGACCCCTCGGGCGGCCACGGCGGTGAAGACCCCTCGGGCGGCCACGGCGGTGAAGACCCCTCGGGCGGCCACGGCGGAGAAGACCCCTCGGGCGGCCACGGCGGTGAAGACCCCTCGGGCGGCCACGGCGGAGAAGACCCCTCGGGTGGCCACGGCGGAGAAGACCCCTCGGGCGGCCACGGCGGTGAAGACCTCTCGGGCGGCCACGGAGGTGAAGACCCCTCGGGCGGCCACGGCGGAGAAGACCCCTCGGGCGGCCACGGCGGAGAAGACCCCTCGGGCGGCCACGGTGGAGACCTACTCCCCCCCCCCAAAATTTTCTTGGGGGTAGCTACGGGGACATAGGCTGGAGCAAGCACCGGCTCAGAAACAGTCTCCAGCTGGACGTGGCTGACGTGCAGCGCAGGCTCTGGAAGCTCTGTTGAGACGTGACGAGGCTCTGGAAGCTCTGCTGAGACGTGACGAGGCTCTGGAAGCTCTGCTGAGACGTGACGAGGCTCTGGAAGCTCTGCTGAGACGTGACGAGGCTCTGGAGGCTCTGCTGAGACGTGACGAGGCTCTGGAAGCTCTGCTGAGACGTGACGAGGCTCTGGAGGCTCTGCTGAGACGTGACGAGGCTCTGGAAGCTCTGCTGAGACGTGACGAGGCTCTGGAAGCTCTGCTGAGACGTGACGAGGCTCTGGAAGCTCTGCTGAGACATGACGAGGCTCTGGAGGCTCTGCTGAGACGTGACGAGGCTCTGGAAGCTCTGCTGAGACGTGACGAGGCTCTGGAAGCTCTGCTAAGACGTGACGAGGCTCTGGAAGCTCTGCTAAGACGTGACAAGGCTCTGCGGGCATGATGGTCGTGATAACAACCCTCTCTACCTCTCCAACAGTGAAGGGAGATCCACAAAACTGCAGGACAAAATCAATGAACTGCTCCAGGGTCCAACTAGGGTCCTCCTCCGGTAAATTTAAACTAATGTCTAGATCTAGACCACTCCAGAAACAGTCCTTCAAAGTATCTTCTACATCCGGAACGAGATGGCTATACACAAGGAATTCCTCCACATAATCCTCGATGCAGCGATTACTCTGATA